GTCTAACATTCATGTCTGAGTGCAGCCGAGTTCACTTTAAAGTGCATTTCTTTAATTTCTAACATTTATTATCTGGCACATATGGACAGTGATGTGGAATCTAATGTTAGGCATCTCTCAATGCATTGCTCAACTGCTCTGACAGCTACGTGCACAACATGCTGTACAGCTGCTCTGCAAACTGCATGTACCCTAAAGGTTAAATGGTGAAGTGGAGGGGGTGTTTTTGACAGAAATGACAGGAAAAGTTCCAAATCCTCTCTAGACCACCATCGTTTGTTGATGCTAATCCTTGCTGGAAGGACGGTTCATCATAATGTAGTTTATGTTTGTTAGTATGCACCTGGGTCATTTCTGCTTGGGTTTAAACTAGGGCTGCACGATTAATCGCATGCGATATTTAACGCGCATCTTGTCAGAAAGCCGGTTCTGTAATCAGCGGTAAATCTCCATCACCTGCGTGCTTTCACATTGAGCAGCATTAACTACACAGAGCCGTTGTTCACTGATGAGCAGCGCAAAAAATCGCGCGAATATGAACGTGGTTTAGCGCAGCTCGTCAGTGAACAACGGCTCTGTGTAGTTAATGCTGCTCCATGTGAAAGCACGCTAATTAGAACCGAGAACCGGCTTTCTGACAAGATGCGCGTTAAATATCGCATGCGATTAATCGTGCAGCCCTAGTTTAAACTCAGAAGCATAGACACTACTCACAGATCTCCACTGCAGCTTGTCCCAGCATGAATCAGGACAAATGGAAGCAGTATAGCCTACAGTGATGTCAGGATGATGTCAGTGACTGTGAGGAATGATGCTGTCCGTTAATCCACACAGACATTACACACCTGCACTTCCACGCACATACACACCACACAGACGCACACACATTTGTATTTCTATCATGGTGGGACTTTCCTTTTACTTCGGTTCTTTTCATACTGAGGTAATGATATTTTCTCTCTTTAACTTGAACATTAACCCTCACAGCAATGGTTTTGCAATACTTGGATATTAACTTACACATTATTTAGTATTAATATTTATACAGTTTTTTTATACTATTGTTTTATTAGTTGTCTCCCACAATGTAGGTAATTTTAGGTTGTACTATCCTTGTAAGGATATGTACAACACCAGTATCACACTTAAAAAAAAATGATCCAGAACAAAAAAAATATTTGTATCATATTTATGATATTTCTAAACATAAATCAAAATAATCAAAAAAGACAGATGTCCAGAAAATACTTGTATGATATTTCCCAAAGTTCTAAATAATGTCAGACTTAAAAATAATAAAATAAAGTAAAATAATTGCTAAAAAGGTTGAAAAAAAAAAAAAACGATCATAAATAAATTGCATGTAACATTTTTATATTTCTCAATCTTACAGTTTTAAAAATATTGTGAATACACAACACCACTCTCACGCTAAAAAAGTACAAATATAACAATTAAATAAAATGATAAAAAGGTTCAAAACATCCATAAGGAAAAACAGATTTAACATCTCATATTTCTCAACATTCTCATACTTCAAAATAATAATAATATTTTATACTATATTATACTAAAATACATTTCATTTTTTTGTATTTTTTTTAATAAATAAAAAATAAGTTTCCTTTGTGATATCCATATTTATAAAATATATTATATGATACTTTTATTGTATGAGACAACTACATCATACGTTGTATGAGCACACTTGTATCAGGCATTATGATGCAGCAACAATCTACTATTGACCTCTTTCTGAACGTCCCTTCAGTTTCTGGCTGATGAAAGAAAGGTTTGTCACAAATAGGTTTCACAGGTCCTGAGGCCTGAGTCTATCTACACAATACTGATGACAAAATACCAGGTGCAGCACACCTGCAGTACAGTCGCTCTATTCTTAAATCTGAGTGGTGTTTGTAGTTCCCCTTCCAAACCCCTCTGATTGTGCGTTTAATCTCTCCATCCCCTCATCCATTCAACGACACGTGAACATTGTCTACCTAGTGGTTCCTCCCAGTCTCACTCTCTGAATCTTCCTTTTTATCCTCTTTTCTCCTTTGGGCAATTACTAGTGTGTTTATGCCTCAGTGGTGTTGCTGTTATTAGACATAATAGCAACTGCGGATGTGTCATTGTGCTAGCCCTATTAATTTCCCTAAATAAGACTGTGTGTGTGTTCTTCATGTACCACCGTTTTTTAAACTGACCCACTCTGCTCTTTGTTATCCGTAATACATTACCTTTGTTATAAAACCTATTGAGCATAAGAGCATCAAAAAAGTTTCCAAAGTTACTTCCTATACTTTCCTCTGACCATTTCAAATCCCATACGTAAAATCAATTAAAAGCTGAATTTTTCCCTCTATGAATTGCTTTTGAGGTTCTGTGCTTTTGAGTTGACAAATTAGCCTGAAAGCTAAATGATACACAGGCCTCGAAAACCCATTTGTTTTCTCTCCCTGAGAGGCTTCAGTGATGATGGGGACACAATGGAAAGCAAAGGCCTATCATTAGGAACACGAGCTGGTTTGAGTTGCCGCCTGACCCTCCTTGGCTAAGCTAGGTGTGGATGTCCACACCCTTTAAACTGCAAACCTGACCCACTGCAACATCTCTATTAGTGTCAGTTCAAGTAAAAGAAACTGCCTCAGTCGCACATTAGGCTGCACTGTAATTACACAACTTCAATGAACAGTGAGTCAGCACAAGCTAATGGAAGGAGGAGAGCAGGAAAATAAATGAACAGACTTTGGAAGGTGCACACATGCTAGCTCAGATTCTTCTTCATTACATCCACAGTTATTCCCGGACTGTTTCACACACTTGGATATAGTATCTCCCATTGTCTGCAACACATTCACACCAGACGCAATGGCTGGATAAAATAAGACTAATAACCCCATGCAGAGCATGATGGACCCTCATGGTGACCCTAGAGGCACATGCACAGAATGATGCAAAGAAATGTGTAATGAATTACTCTCCTGCTAGCATATAGCTCTCCATTCGGCATGTCAACAGATGGCTTTATGCTCTCCTCCATTCAAAATTCAACAGTAAATAGTGATGCTTGCTAATGCAATCACTATTCATATTAATTAAGAGATGACAATTTTTGCTCAAATTGCATGGCTTATTCAGATGTTAGTTTTCTAAGCTTTTGGACTTACATTAGTTTGGCTAATGCTAGGGAGACAAAACATCCCTCCACAAGTTTGTTTACTCATCAGTTCAGTCTGCAAGAACTGAACATGTTGTATTCAGTACAACATGCTCCGTGTTGTGTATCATGTGTATCCTCGCCACTTAAAAGGAGTTCCCATTTAATTTTACATCATGTGATATATGTTGCCTCCTCAGCATGTCTGAACCACAGCAGATTGAGTCTTAGCAGTGGAATGTCTAAATGTATACATCTCAGAAGGTGCTTATCCCTCAGGCCATAGAAGCTCTTTTAATGGTAATAAATCTGATTCGAACTTTGATATTTTGCAAAGTACAGCACCTAGGTTATTTTTTCATGTCCTTTTTTGTGTGTGTGAAACATTGCATCTTTGGTGGTCCATCTTTGCCATGTCTTTAAACTTCCAAGATGAGGTGAGCCTGTTTTTCAGCTAGTGAAAAAATTGACAATGGATTGAAGTGGTTATCTGGCTAGCTGCATTTTACGGGTGTTTATGTGACATGCTATCAGATGCAAGGTTGAGCAGGCTGTCGTTCTGAGGAAGTTGTGATTTTTCTACCTGAGCTGATTCAGCTTCCTCCATTCATAGAAACACACCACACCCTGAAGGTGTGCACAAGAGATAAGCCCAGCAATCATCTTAATTTTTCAACGATCTTTCATGACTGTCTTTACCGGTTTAAACAATTGATCACATGTACACAATGTTCCATTTTCCATGATATACCTTCTTCACCTGGTGAGCAACAAAATCAATATCAGCACTGGAAAACGCGCTCCTATGCCAAACTGCCTTTTTCCATCATTGAGATCAAAGTGGGAGGTCATGGAAGTGTGTTTTCACAGGGAGCAATAAATTTTCCTTGAAAACAAGGCAATAAAGCGTGTCCCTGTGTCATTACGTGCCATGCGTCGGCTCTCTTTTGTTGTTGCTCTGTGTGTGTTTTACGAGAACCTGTTTGTTTTCAGTCTTAAGTGATTTGGAAGTGAAGCAAATCCTTTCAGAGTCACATGAGACAATCTTTCTTCTCCAACTCTAATTTTGCCGTGTGTGCTCAATTTAAAAAAAAAAAAAGTTTGTTTATTATTCTAAATAAATTATTCTATAATTACTCAATGCTACAATGGTGCATTTAGTACATTATGGCAATACAAGAAACTGGTGACGACATTGCTATTTTTGTTTAATGCTTTAATCTGAGGTAAAATCATATAACATTTCCATCTTTTTAAGATTTATTTTACTAGGACAGGATGTTAAGTGGGTGAGAGAGGGGGACAAGATCCGAAAAGCACCACTAGCCAGTACTTGAAATCAGGTTACCCAGTGTGTAATCAGGCTACGCGTCAGTGTTGGCCACAAGGCTAGCCACTCCACAGCTTATGTCATGCTGTCAACTACCACAGAAGAAAATTCTAAATATAAAACAAAACACATTTAATGTAATGTATTTACAATGGAGGCCCATTGTGTGTGCATGAGCATATATACATATATATATATATATATATATACACA